TTACAGATTAACTCAGTCAGAGCCATCTGTGTTTGAGAATTCAAAAGGACCAGAGGTTATTTGAACTGTTGTCCTAAAAGTACCTCCACAGATTCGAGAGAATGGAGTCGGTCATTATCTCATGCTTCATGTAGCATTTGTGAACATAACAGGGTGGGTTCAGTCTGTTTCCTTTGCTTTTCTCCTCTTGCACAACAAGAAAACAACCATGGTCTTCAGAAACCTCTGAGGTACCTGGTTAGGGAAAAGATAGACATTTTCATTATAAAAATGCAGATTTTTTTTTATTGTTCACAAGTCATTGTTAAGAAAGAGAAAGATAGAGGCTGGACACACCAGGTAGGGCTTTTGCCAACCTGGGTTCGATTCCCAGAATTCCACATGGTCCCCAGAGCATGGCCAGGAGTAATTCCTGAGTGCATGAACCAGGAGTAACCTCTGTGCACAGCCAGGTGTGGCCCCAAAACAAAACAAACAAACAAACAAACAAAAAAAGAAAAAAAAGATAAAGAATAAAATGAAGGGTTGAGAGATAATACAGAGGTTAAGGCACTTAACCTTGTTCATGACTTGCACTTGCCTTGTACATGATTTACTCTATTTCATTCCTTGACATTGCATATTGTAACTTCCAACACCATTAAGAGTGGCCCCTGAACACAGAGCCAGGAGTAAGCCCTTTGGTGTGGTCCAAAAGCCCCAAAACAAACAAATAAAATGAGAAGATCTCTTCAGTAGACATACTAGTTGGTTAAAAATATTTTGAGTCTTCTCTCCTTCCTATTGTCTGATTGGATTTTATGTTTCTGATTCCATCAGAGCTAGGCACAGCTATCTCTGTGTGTTGCCCAATGATTGTTGAATGAAGGAAGAGCCCCATTAAGCTATAAAATCTAAACAGGATTTACAGTGCTTCTATGTTCATGTTTTAAGAGTCAGTAGCAGATGTACTTTTATGAAATTATTTGTTAGGATGAAGTCTCCATCAGCTTAGGTCACTGTGATGATCAGAGTCCCTCTATTCTTTTACCCTGCACATACAATAAAGTATGAGAGAGATAGGATATTTTGGGTTAAGTAATTGATATTTTGTTTTTATTATGTAATTGTAATAAAATCTATTTTATTGATGCACAGAATCATATCTGCTCATTTTTGAAAGTTTCAGGAATAATTTATGTCAATTTTTTTCTGGAATGTGACATCAAGAACCACTTGAATAATTCATTTGTCCCATCAGTAGGGACTCTGAATTAGACAGGCTGAAGTAAACAAATAGCAGCAATCATTTTAATAACCACACTATTATTTATTTCTATTACATTTTTATGCGATTTTAGTTGTTTCTACTACTCAATTATACATGTGCTATTATTTATTTATACACTTTTATTCTCTACTTAAAAAAGACTTGTTACAATAACTGTCTACTAGATCTAACTTTGAGAATGGCAGAGAAAGTTTCTCTGAAAATCTGCTGCTCTATGAATGCAATGAGAACAGTGGGAATGCCATTAAAATAAACTTTTTTGCAACTCTGAAAATTATAAAAGAGCTTATAGCAATCTATATCATGTCTGTTGAAGAAAAAGAGTTGCATATTAAAAAAATACGAAAAAACAAGAGCCTTGTGGCATTTTAACTTGTCCTCATTTCATTCCATTTTTTCCATCTTGTGATGGCCTCAAGAATAATGAACCAGCATCTGAGCAAACACTGGAAAAAACACAATGGAATTGGACTTCCCTGGAAAGCCTCATAGTCAGTATTTGAACAAGCTGGCATTTTCTTGAAATAACCCATTTTCAGGCAATTATTTGATAAATCAGAATTCTTCAGGAATGAATCCTAAAACAGTACGACCTTGAAGACATTTGTCGAAAACAATCAGTGAAAACGTTTAACGTCATACTGCCAGGGGTCTTGAAATTGTTGGCACTGAAAGAAAGTGGACCACGCAAGTTAAAAATAAAAACTGGGAGGTGAGGTGTCTTCAGCTTTATTTAACTCTAACATGTTCTTGAGACTGTAAAGACATGTTTACAGTACTGAGGGACCTTTAGGGTGCTTTCTCTTAAGAATGACTAACTTGAGGCTCTGCAGAATCAGTAAATGAAGTAAATAAAGAATTGTGAACTGCCTGATGGATCATTAAATATGTGTCCCAGCATGTGCAGAGAGCCCTTACCTAGATTGGGAAACATATTGATTGCAAGGGATTAAGAAGATTTCTCTCCTGTATTTATTAAGCTAACCAAGCAGAAATTTCAGTTGCTCCATAGAACAAGGAATGTGGGCTTTTACAGAATTGGTTCAGAAATTCCACTAAACTAATGAGTGGTAGCAGCAGAAGCAACAACACACTCTGTAGAAAAGAATCAAATTACAGAGCTGACACGTGATTTTAAATTTCTAATTTTTAGTAAAAATGTTGAGACACATGAAGAAAGCAGAGAAATATGGTTGAACAAAGAAACACACAATAAGAACTTTCTCCAACTTATTCCTCTTCCTAACTTAAAAAAGTCAGTTCATACATATTTTCAAAGAAATATACTTAAAAAGAAATAAACAGTATGAGAATCATATATTTTTAAACCAAATAAACAAAGGTTATAAGAAAGAAGGCAAATTGGACCAGGAATGTGCTTTAATGGTAGGGCATTAGCTTTATATATGTGAGGTCCTTGGTTCCATTCCTGGTATCCCATGATACCCTGAGGACTTCCAGGAGCAACGGTCATGAGAATATCTCCTCAGCACCTTGAGTGTGGCCTCAGAACAAGGAAAAACTCATTCTAGAGATTATAAGTAGAATATTAAATTAAAACATTTATTATTGAGTCTACTCAATCATAAATGGAGATGTTACTGGTGCCTGAGTGAACAAACTGAAGATCAATGGGATGACAAATGATACAAGTGATACAAGTAATGATTGAATCTAGATTTGAACTGGATGGTGAGAATGAGGGAACTTAAAGTCAGGTCAACCAAGGTCATCCAGATTGAGGAGCAATAAGAAGAAAATGATGAGGAAAGAACAAACCTCAGATACCCGGGAACTTTATCAAATATGGGATTCCTAGAAGGTGAGAAGAGAGCAGGGGCAGAAGAATATTTGAAGAAATCTTAGACAAAAATGTGCCAAATCTGATCAAATTTAATCTGCATATCCAAGGTACTCAGTGATCTAAGAGGATAAACTCAGAAAAATACTCATCAAACATATTATAGTAATGTATATATAGATATGGTAAAGACAAGAATATTTAAAGTAGCAAGATATAATTGATTTATCATGTACAAGAGACCCTTGATAAGGTTAAACATTGATTTCTTATTGAGGAGGTCATATGGGTAGTATATTTAAATTATAGAAAGAAAAATATGTATCAATCAGAAATTCATATTTAACTAAAATGATCTGTTGCAAATGATGGAGATTAGACATGCCAGAAGAATAACAACAGGGAATTTATTGTCAGTATAACTGCTATTATTGAAGAAAGACTAAGGGAAATTCTTCACTAAAATGAAAGGATACCATAAATGAACTTGAATCCACATAAAGAAATAAAAAAGAATACTAGTAAAGTAATATTTTAGGTAAAGATAAAACACAATTTAAATTCATTTTTGTTACTGTTTTCTTTCTTATCTGACTTAAAAGATAATTGTATGCCACAATAATTATAAGACTGTGTTGGTGACCTTGTAATGCAATTTGTTGGATGACATATAAGGGAGGGCAAAGGAACTAGACCTACATTGGGCAAATTTTTGTACACTATTAAAATTAAATTGCTGTTAATGGAAATAGATTATTTTAAGATGTTTATTTTGACCCTTTGGAAATTACTAAGGATATAAATCAAAAACATATATTAAAAACAATTTAATTTAAAAAGTTTTTAAACAATCTATCCAAAACAACAAAGACATAATATACTTGGGAAAAACAACAACAGCAAAAGACAAAGAAACAAAAAACCAACACCCCCCAAATGTGGTAGACTTAAAGTCTGTCTTATCAATTACTGTAAATATGTTCAAATCTCCAATTAAAAAGAAGCTGTGTACATAATAGTAAAAGTTATGTGTATACCATGTACAGGAGACATTTCGGGTTCAGAGACGTAAGGTTGAAAGTAAGAGGATAGAATATGCATATCAATCACACTAATATACTCCAAGGAGAATTAGAGTAGCAATATTAAACATATATGCACCTAAGAACAAAATTTCTCAGTACATAAAGGAAACATTAAGAGAACTGAAGGGAAAAACAAAATCTAACATTAATAGTTTGAAGCTTCTATCTTCATTATCATCAATTTATAATCAGTAAAATGGGATCAATTTTATGGAGGTGGGTGGAAGCTAGAATTCAGGATGGTGAACATCATGTGCTATATACAGACGCTGATTTATCAGCTTGATATCAGAAATCGATATAATAAGACAAAGTTACTGCAATAATAAAATGGACAGAGAAACCAGATTTAAGATCAAGAAGGAAATAGAAGACTTGAAAAACAGAAACCAACTCACCCTAGTAGACAGTTGTAAAACATGACACCCAACAATGACAATCACTGAAGGACACGGGCAGCAATCTGTAGAATGGACAATGTGTTAGGTCATTAAATAAGTTTCAGCAAGTTTGAAAGGATCAAAACCAAATAAAATTCTTTTTCTGATCACCACGGATGGAATTAGAAATCCTCAACAGAAGGAAAGTCAAAATGTTGATAATTATATGGAAATTAAGTAACATACTCCCAAATACCCAATGACTCAGAGAAGAAGCCAGCAGGCAATTATGAAATGCTTTGAGTTGAGTGACAATTAAAATTCATGTTGTAAAATCTTATGTAGCTACATCAGTGCTTAGAACATTAAATATTACTCATCTATATTAAAAATAAGAATTTCAAATCAACATGTAATCTACCTTCAGAGATTTAAAAGAGAAGATCAAATTAAAACCCAAGCAAGTGCTTGTCTCGGCAGCACAGATACTAAAAAATTGGAACCATATAGAGAAGACTAGCATGGTCCCTGCACAAGGATGACACGCAAATTCGTGAAGTGTTCCATATTAAAAAAAAAAACCCAAGCAAATACAGAAAGGGAATAATAAAAACGAGGGTAGACATAAATGAAGGGAAGAAATAAAGAGTAGGGAAAGAGATCTATTAAATAAAAGTTTGTTCTTTGGAAAGATCAGTCAAATGAACAAATCTTAAGGTAATTTGTCAAAATAATTTGGCCTTGTAGCACTACCCCATCTCAGAAAATAATTACTTAGTGCCCCTCCCCCGTGGAAATCTATCTTGTTTAACTGAACTGAAGAGTTAAGTGCTCCCCAAGAGGTGCTTGGTTGGTGGCCTTTTCAATGAGAGGAAATACCAGGGGCTCCTATTCTTTCCAAAGTGAACCAGGAGGGTGCAGATCAATAGTACAGTGGATAGGGTTCCTTCTCCAGCATCTAATACGGAGTCCCAGGTCACCAGGAGTGATCCCTGAGAACAGAGACAGAATTAAGCGCGAGCTGTGGCCCTAAATAAAGAAAAACAAAGTAAATCAGCAATCCTCAACCCTCCCCGCTTTCCTCTGGTTCCCTAGATAGTTCATAAACTACCAAAAATAGAGACAGGGCTCTGTGCTCCAGGATGATGGAAAAAGAAAGTGCCCCTTCTCCCCAATTGTATCCTAGAGCACTACTGCCTGTCAGGATCACTCAAACACCTCCTGGGGGCAGTCTCACTTTGGAAAAACACTGAGTAAGACTAAGTGAAAAATAGAAGACAAGGTTTTTTTTTTTTTTTTTTTTTTTTTTTTTTAAGTGATCAAAGCTAGGAATAGAGGGGGCACTGACTTTAACTTAAGAAGTCAGTTAAATGAAAAATGTAAGGGAATGCTATGAACAAGTACATACCAGCTAATTAGATAATATAAATGCATTGTACAAATGACTAAACTATTCAGATTTTGGGGGGTGTAAATACCTGTACTTTGTGACTGCACTATAAACTATTGTGCGCTTCAAAAGTTTTATAAACTTTACATCTTGAAATGTGCATTTTAATACATTTCAATAAAGTTGTCATTTATTTTCCTTTTGATCTGCAACACTATTATGGCAGTGTTCCCGGAATGCAATATTGCATTCCATTAGTGTATCTGCATCCCTTTACCACTATCCCTAGGTCCTTCCCCACCACTCCATTCCCAGGCACCTATTTGCAAACAGCTTGATTCTCTGGGTCTGTTATCGTTGGCCATTTTCACTCTTACTATGCTCTTTATTCTCCACATGTGAGAGAGATAATTCAATATTCGTCTTTCTCCTTTTGACTAATTTAGTTCAGCATGAATACCCTCCAGTTCCACTTATGCTAAAGACGTTATTTTAATTTTGTATGGGAGCCACACCTAGAGGTATTGATGGTTATTGCAGGAACCATTCCTGTGGCAGTTTTCTGCCGGGGAAGGGGCGGACGTAACAGTTCAGTGCTTGGGCCGGACAGTGGTCTGAAGCTTGGGAGTTACAGTGCCCGGAGGGGCAGGACTGTGTACTCCTGAGGATCTAACTCAGAGCCCTGCACATGCCAGGGACACGCTCCACCCTTTGAGTCATCTCCAGCCCAAGGATGTTATTTTTTCAAAGTCGAATCACATTATTTCCTTCTTCCTCTCTTGGATGCCATTAAGAATGAGCCTTGAATTGAACATTTTATAGGGTATTTATAACTACTTTTTGAGTACCTGTAATGTGGGTCCTTTAAATATCTTTTGGGGAATGGGGAAATAAGAGAGAAAATCAACGATGCTTCAGAGAATGGCACAGTGAGTTTATATCTACATCTCACTTAAAAAATCTCTTTTCCTTCTTTTTAAAATTTGTTCTTAATGAATCATAGTGAGATACAGTTACAGACTTATGCTTCCATGATTAAGTTTCAGTCATACAATGATCGAGTACCCATCCCTCCGCCAATGTCCAATCTCCACCACCAATGTTCCCAGTATCCCTCCCGCCAGCCCCACCCCTCCCCCACCTTTTTTCCTTTTTAAGGTCACACCCAGAGATGCTCAGAGGTTACTCCTGGCTCTGCCTGCACTCAAGAGTCACTCCTGACAGAGCTCAGAAACCATATGGGATGCTGGGGATTGAACCCTCTAATTGGCCGCACACACAGCAAGAGACTTACCCACTGTGCAATCTCTCTAGCCCCTCTTGTAAGTATTTCTTAGGAACCTCTGTTGCTGTCTTGTGCCATTTTATGTACACCAAACTTTGAAGAACAACATTACTTCTTTTAAATTTTATATATATTTTCATGGAATACAAATACTTGGAATGCTTTTCAAAATGCTTTATAGTTTTAATCTTTGTGTATTAGTGTGTATGCTAATTTTATAAATACTCAGAACATAGGAGAAAAAGTCTCCATAAAAAGATGTGATGTTTTGATCTGAAGATTCATTTCTATATAGTTAAAAAATAAGTACATGATATTATTCCACTGAGGGAGAATGATACAGATCATAAAATTTCTATTTTCATTCCTAGGTTAATCATAACATATTAGAAACACAGACCTTAACTCCCCAATTTTTCCACTCTTATGTAGTACAAATTGTTTCCCAGATTTTCTAGTTTCAGCTTGAAATATTATGTTCATAAAACTCTGAAGAGCACAATTTCCTTCTAACCCCTTTTCTCTCATCACTGCTGCTGTGTATAATTTATATAGCATCTCTGACATTCTCTGTGCTTTGTGTAACTGAGCTTCTAGTGTCAGAGCTTTACTCTGAACAACTTAGAATTCAGAAACTAAAGCTCATGCACAAGGAACAATAAAGCAAGAAATGATGGCGGTGGAGGGAGGTTTCAAGCTTTCTGCATCTGCTCTAACAAGGGTCTCAAATCATCACTGGAATGCGTTTTCTTAACAAGGTAGTCAGAATTAAAAACAGGATCTTGGGTAACCCTGGATTTTATAATAACGTGTCATGCTCTATTTTTCTAATTTTCACAAAAACTTATCAGAGTGGCAGATTGTCTCATTTTGACAATAAATGTCTTCCCCTGAGTTCCATGATACATGCTACTTTCTCCAGCATGTAAATTTCTCATGGGAATAGTCTATGTGTTTTATATCTTGAAATAATCTTTTCACAGTGTGGAAACATAATTGTGTAAGTCTATGTCTAAACAATGTCAACTAAAGGAGTTGAAAGAACCACAAGGAATTTATTAAGTAACTGAAAATTTGTCCCCTTTAGTCATGGCTGGATTTAGGCTCAGTTCATGTCACAAATGATGGTCAGGTTCTGGGATTTCTAGAGCTTTAGTTCTACTCCCCAAGGTTTGTTTTTATGATTCTCAGATGAGACATCTCCATCTAGCTCTCACCAGTCTGGGACATAAAACAATGAGAAGAGATGGAGCTAATCTGTCTGTCCCTCTTTCTCTGGCCTTCCCTCACTCTCGTCCTCATTTGGCACCCTCCTCCAACGAAAGTCATTGATTTTAATTGGAATGCTTAGCCATCCCTGACCCATCAGTGGGGCTGAAGGATGTAATGTTCTCATTAGCCAGGCCAGGTGTCGAGTTAATATAATCTAGAGATCATCAAATGAAAATAAAGGAAGAAGTCTTCCCCTGAACAGAATTGAACTGTTGTTTCTAAATAAGAGTCAAAGATGTTGGATAATCTATCACAATAGATAGTTAGTGATTAATTATTGATAGATGAATCTGGATCATTTAAGTTTGGACTATCATTTGGGTTTATCAAACGCTTATCAGAATTTGCTGAGAAAAGCAACACATTTATTTCCATTAAGTCATTATCGACTAACTACTTGCTAATACAGGACTGTTTGGAACCTTCAGTATTAACAGCCCTTATGTACAAATCTAAATTAACCCTAAGTAAGCTACTCACTGATACATGCTGTATTTCATGTTTCTCTTTCGTCAATTACCTAGGATCAATGTCACTGGATAAGAGTCATTGGGTGCTGAATCTGTTTTCCTCTGACTTGTGCAACAGTACTTGGGAACTTGGTCATGGTGGTGAAGGTGGTCATGGTGCTTTGGAATGGGGGGGGGGAGTAACTAGAGGTCTCGAGATCCCTGCTGTGAGACAGGTGACAGGACATGACATTTCTTTAATATGTTCCACCATTTTGGTCGAGTTTGCTGTAAGGGAAATGAATGCTTCTTTGCTCTTCCTTCAGGCCAATTCTGTTGCAAGGTAAGACATTTATTTCTGACCTTAAGGCATTGTTACCGGGAGCTGACAGTGCCTTGTGGGGGAGGCCACGCTCTCTCCTTTGTGCAGCCGTCTCTTAGGCCCCAATTCCCCATGCACCAGTTAAATCCCAACTCCAGGTTAACTGTGCCTATTAATTTGTAGACAAAAATAACAAGTAGCAGGAAGGGAGCACATCCTTAAGGGAATACCCGAATGCAATACTGGAGTCTCACCAGGACCACCTGCATCAATTTACAAACTTTTTTTTTTACCAGCACAGGAAGAATTTTCTGCAAACGTTTGTGTTTGTGAAACTTGTTTACCTCAGCTGGAAATTGCCGCAGACTGCAATTTGAAGAGTGTTTACTTCCACCCCCACTCCTAATTCATACTCAGTGGTAATTATTGGAATCCAGATTTTGTTGTTGTTTCAAATTGTTGGGATGTAAACTCGGAGTGAGTCGGACTCTTGAGACCTGGGTGAAACAGGATAGGCATGATGCCAAGTGATTTTCCAATGTGATTTGAGTCGATTGAGGTATGGGGCTCTTGCTTTGGGAGGAGCAATCCTCCTCTGAGATCAGTCCCTTGTTAGGAATAATGACTTTCCAGAGCTACACCATTCAGAATATAAAAAATTCTTTTATATTTGTTTGACTCCACTTAATAACTCACGGTGTTCTAATAGATATTTTGGGAAGAATTTGTAGTAAAGGCTTGGCTTTTTTTTTTTTTGGTCTTCATCCTGCAGTTGGCAAGAATTGAAATGCTGCGGGACACATTTCTTGAGACTTATGGGGAATCAAACTTTTATAGGATGTAGCTGTATTGGGA